AGGGTGATTATTGAAAGTTGAGGTCTTCTTATAGGCATTTTATCTTTTGCTTTCTGGTAGCTTGGTGTTTCCATTGTTTCCTTGTCATTGTGTTTCCGTTTTCTTTATTTTGGTTGGCTTTTGTGTGTTTTGCCTTTGATTCTTCTTGTTTTATGTTATAGACTTCAGTTCTGACTCTATGGTGTGTGGTTACCATTACACATATGTATTGTGGTTACCATTACGAATATATATATACAGTTGTCCATTTTCTTCTGCGCATGCCTTTTCTCCATTTCCATTTGTGAATTTGGATCTTTGATTTTTCCCCTTTTCTGTCATTGTTACCTTAATTTGTTTCTATGTATGCTGAACATTCATTACTATCTTGCTATAGCAATTCTTTTCTTATTATTTAAGAAATAAGTAAGGGCTGCACTCCTCTGCTTCTATGTGCTTGATGGTCACTTTACTCCTAATTATGTATTTTTTTTTTTGTTGCTGTTATTTTGTTTTAGGTGAGCTGACCCCTTTCAGAATTTCCTGTAGTGCAGGCCTCATAGTGGAGAATTCTCTCAATTTTTGTATGTCTGAAAAGGTCTTAATTTCTCCTTCATATCTAAAGGAGACCTTAGCTGGATACATTATTCTAGGCTGATAGTTCCTTTCACTTAATAGTTTAAATATTTGATTCCATTCCTTTCTGGCTTGTAAGGTCTGCACTAAGAAGTCTGATGATAATTAATGGGTTTTCTTTTATACGTTACCGTTTTTCTTCTCCCTGGCTGCTCTGAGAACTTATCTTTGTCATTGATTTTTGATAATTTTAATACAACGTATCTTGGCAAAGGCCTTTTTGTGTTCAGATAATTGGGTGTTCTGTTAACTTCTTGAATTCCAAGTTCCAGCCCATTCCTTAGATTTGGGAAATTCTCATCCACTATTTGTCTGAAAATGTTTTCTAGTCCCTGCTTTTTCCCTTGCCTTCTGTAATGCCCCTTATTCTTATGTTTCCTCTCCTGATGGTATCAGGTAGTTCTTGTATTTCTGTTTCATTATTTTTCACTCTTCGGTTTCTCTCTTCTTCTTTCTGATTTATTTCTAGATTTCTGTTTTGATATCACTGATCCTTTCCTCCATTTGGTCAACTCTATTTCCCAGGCTTGCTATTTCGTTTCTCAAGTCTTGCAGTGTGTTTTTTAATCTCGAGATGTTCTATTTTGTTCTTTTTTAGGGTTTCAATCTCCTTGCTCTGCTCATAGTTGTTTTTGCAATTTCTGAAATTGTTGATATGACTCGTTTCAGAACTCACTGAGTTTTTTCAGAAGTACCATCCTGAATTTTCTGTCACTTAAGTTGCATATTTCTATGTCTGTAAACTTATTTTCTGGAGATTTTTCTCTTTCTTTCTGAGATGCCTTGTCACCTTGGTTGTTCATGGTGTGTAATGGACTATTTCTCTGCCTGGGCATTAGTGGAAGTGTATTTTGTTGTTTTTCCAGAAAGAAGATTCATTATATAAAGGCCTCTCTTTAGACTGCTGCAAAGAAGGCCCTTTCCTTTCGGTTTCCAGTAGGTGGCATCTAAGCTTCTTGGATCCCTGCTTTACATAGAGCCTAAATTCTTTTATTTTCTTGTAGATTTTAATCACATTCGCTGCTCTTGGTTTCAGTCCCTGACAGTGTTGGCAACAGTTTTGGTAGCATTTGCTCAGATTCTCCTGGGGCTCAGTGGTGACTGTCTCGGAGATATGGGTGGATGGACCCCCTTCCCCTTCCCTTACAGGGAATTCCAGAGGCTGAGAGAGGTGGCTTCAGTCTCCGCAGCTTTTGTTCAGATTCTCCTGGGGTTCTGTGGTGATCAGTCTCAGAGAGTATGGAGTAAGGGCCTTCTGGGTTGGGGGTTCAGAGGCTGCAGCTCAGCCTTGGTTTTGCAACCGCGGCCAGTAAAAATCAACTATCGTTTCTCTGCTGTCCCATCTGCTTCTTTGCTTTCTGCCCTGATGACTGAGCCCTACTGCCAGCTGTGTAGAAAAGTCCTGGTACTTCCAGGCAGGCTGATCAGGGAAGTTGCCACACCTTCTCCCCTCCTCCTCCTCCTACAAGGAGCTCTGGTGGCTGCGAGAGGCAGCTTCTTTATTTCTCCCAGACTACCCCCCGACACCCGGGGTTCTCTTCTGCGCAGACCCCACACTCAGATGTGCTGGTGTGAAGTTTGGGTGTTTTTTGTTGAGTTTTAGATGTTCAGCTTATTGTTGTTTCAAGTGAAGAGATATGAGGACGTTTCTCACCCCACCATGTTTTCCCAGTGGTGTAAAATGTTAAATCTTATAAATGTTTTTCTTTGTCTTTGAACCTTATGCTTTTTATACTTATTATCTCCACTTTAATTTTAGTCAAAATAATTTTTTCCTTCTTTGTATTTGATTATCTTAATTTATGACTTTGAGGATGCTTATTCTGCTGATTTGTGATTGTGTTTTTGTTGGTTAATTATGTTTCATCTGATATAAAATATTGTGTTTGTTGTCTTTTTAAAAATAACAACTGGATTCCAAGATGGTTAATTATGAAGATTCTTGAAAGTTTGGAGCGAAGTTTTGGATTGAATTTCAGATTTTTAAATCAATTTACGATAGTGGGAAAACCAAAGTTGTCAATAAATTAGGGAAAAAGGTAGTCATGTAGGTGGATGACAGGAATAAATTATAGGAGGATGAACTTTCGCATATAGGAAAGAAAGGTTTCCTTTTGGAATAGGAGAAATCTAAGCATGTTTATAGGCAAGAGGGAAAAATTAGAGATGCAAGAGACTGGGTCATTTAAAATGTAAACTTCCAGAAAAAAAAAAGGGATGAATTACTTATATATGATTTTTACTGAAACTACTAGAAGTACCCCAAAGAAAAAAATACCATAAGTTGTGTTTAGCATCTTCTTCCTTTAGGTCTTCTTCATATATGTTCAGAACAAATTTGTTGTCCATTTAATGGTGAAAACTGAAGAAAAAAATCATGAAATTAACATTTGAGTTTAATAACAGTTAATAATATGCTCAAAAACTTTCAGAGACTGGACTAACCCAAAGAAATGAAACATGCATAGTTATTATTCTAGATCCTTTAAAGATCTCTCCATGTAAATGGAATAATATTTAAAGTCTAGATAATGGCCTCCATCTGCACTCTTGAATTTGGTACCCACTAGCCACGTGGCTCTTTATATTTAATTCTAAATTATTTCAAATTCAATTCAATCTTTAAAAATGGAATGAAATTAAAAATTCAGCTTCTCAGTTTCACTAGCCACATTTTAAGGCTCAGTAGCCATATGTGGTTACTTGCTACTATATTGGACAGTGCAAATATAGTACATTCCCATTATTGTAGAAATTTTGTAGGACACCACTGGCCTAGATGGTTCTACATGTAAGTTCCTTGCCTACCTTTCAACTTTATCTGAAACTTGCTTTCCCTTGCCTAGTCTGCTTCATTACCATTGGCCCTCTCACTCTTTCTCAAACACTATGAGCTTGATATAATCTTAGGATATTTGTATTTTTTGCTTTCTTTCCAAGGATTACCCTCCTCATCTTTTTGTGCCTCCTCTGTTCAAATATTAGTAAGTCCTTCTCTGACCATTTTCTAAGATAACACTCCTTCTCATCCAGATCTATCCTGTTCCTGCTTTAATTTATTCAAACCACTGTTTATTATTAAGCTATTGTCTTTTTCCTCAATATTTTGAGCTCCATAAGGGCAGAGACTTTGTGCTGTTTGCTTCTATAGCTCCGGTACTTACAGCAGGTCATGTAATACACATTGCTCAATAAATATTTATTAAATTAATATATGACCTTTGGGGAGTATCTTAGTAGAAGTCTCTGGACATTTGATTCTCTAAAGTTCTTCAGACATTTTGCTTGGAAGATTGTATTAATGGAAATATGAAATATTTTTATATATCTCCCAGAGTTTACTCCTGGTTGTTTCTGCATATCATGGAAAATTTTGCCTATATTTAGTACAGTTATACTGAAAATCAGTACAGTTATATAAATTCAGCATTCTCACTTTCTTTGTGCTTATATTATATTTAAAATTTTTACTAAAGAGAACATGATGGGAGAGAAGAGAGCTAGAACAACTAAAGAGAAGTGAAGGGAGTGGTGGCAATCAGTGTATTTAAAAATACAAGCTTTGTAAATCTCCTTCAGCTAATGTACAGAAGGGAAGGAAGGCTAATTTAGAAAGGAGTTGAGAAAGGGAGTAGAAATTAGGACCACAGAGTCAGATTTCCAGGATTTCAATCCTGCTTCCATCATTTACTAGCTACATATTCTGGAACAAGTTACTGAATTTTCTTTTCTCTCAATTTCCTCATCTGTAGAATGAAGATGATGATATTGTATACTTCACAGGGTTGCTATGAAGATTAAAAGAGTTGATGTATGCAAAGCACATCTCCTGCACTGTATAAGTGTCATCACTATTTAATGTGTTTATTATTATTATAGTTATTGTCATTACTATTATTATTGGTCATTATAGAAAGTTAGATATGTTTCCATGTAGTTTGTATCTACATGAACTAATCAGCTAAAGTTCAACCACTGATGTATGGATAGCCACTTGTAAGATGCAATCAAAACATTTCGAAAGAAAAAATATTGTAAGATGTCATCTCTACATGTTAAACATATGGGCTGTGGCTTGAGGTACTTAGTGATAAACACTGTACTTATGTAGATACTGACTTCTAAAAGACTAGCCCTGGGTGATTTGTCCAGCTGTCACCTGCCAGTTGGTGGAAGCAAATGCAAGAAAAAGCAACACAGATCAAGGAATGTCAGGATTACTTCATTTTAAGTTCTAAAATATTTTGGGTTTTGATATACATAAAACTTTGTTTAAGAAACTTTTAATGATTACTAAAACTTTTTCCTCTGAATTCAGGGTGAAGCACAACTTTTATCATTATGCACATTATTCTAAATGTGTGTTATTCTAAATATTTTGCTAGATGAAGGACGTTATTGAGGATGTAATCAATATGGAATCAAGTTTTAAAGAGGAAGGAACAGAATCTCCTCTGCTAATGCAAAGAACAGTAAGTATTTCCAGACCTGAGGAGGTCAATCAGATTGAAATAAATAATAGCTTCTGATTATAAAAATATTATTTGATTAGTAAATGATATTTTCTGCACTGTTGAAATAGACACAATATAACAGATGAATATTAGGAAATATTTATTGGTGCAGAAAAAAGATTATATACTATTATTGAGAAAGAAAGGTAATAGGGCTTGTATTATCTTACCTATCATCTATCTATTTATGTATCTAATCTCTACAAATATCAATCTAATTATATACTTAATCTTCTGTAGAATTTTCTATGAGCGATTTAATCTTCTGATTTCCTTTTTGAAGTACAGCATATAATCAGACACCCTTATAAGCTCATTACCAAATTTTGGTTATTTTACCGTGACTGACAGCTATAAGATTTAGAGGCTCTACACCTTGTAGAAAAAAGACAAAGATTATTATAACAACAAAAAAGTAAAACTTTACTTCTGAGTCAATAACTAAAAGTTAAAGAGGAACTTGAGAGAGGTAGAATAGGCCTCACTCTAAGGCGCATAGTCAGATGTCTATTTGAAATCAGTACTAATTCTAAAATAATAGGCAATGGACAAATAATACTTTATTTCTCATATTTTATTGCTGTTGCCTTCCCATGGTTCATTTATTAATCACTAAAAATGTTATCTGTAAAGAGTGTATAAGTTCTTTCCACACATTTTGAAGGTTTATTGCTGTTTTGTGTGTTTATGGTTTTAGACCTTTTAGAAAACGAGAAAAAATATGAAAGATGGTGATTGAATTGTTACTTTAAATTTTCATTTAAAGAAACTGAATTCTAACTGTATTACATAGTGTGGATACTGTTCATCAGTAAATTGGTGGACTGGGCTATGTTAAAGATGGATGTTTTAAATTCAAGGCTTTAAAAAAATTAGAAAAAACACCCTTTTTAAAAAGTTGATTCTCAGACTATCTAAAAGGAGAAGTATCTCTTTTTTTCTTTTCTATGGTGTGCAGGAAGGACCTACACTTTGTAACAGGTCACTAATACTATTGTCATCTGACAAAGATCAAATGAAGTTTAATACTTAGTTTTTTTTTTTTGGTCTAATTTCACAGAATGATGATGCTGTTTTCTTAACAATACTCAACTCTGGGTTTGAGGAAATTGTATTAATTTTCTGCAATCTTCTCTTCCTTGTATGTGGTATTTACTTCATTGAAACTGTATATTTAAACATTCTCTTTGTCAATTATCTTACTCATTTAAAAGTGACTGCATAGAATGGCTTACTCAGTATAAAATGGGTATTTATTTTTGATATACAGAATGCATTTTTAAAAAGATAGACACTACTGGCTTATCTGTATTTATATAAAGAAACATCTGTTATTAACCAATCAGTTACACTGATAATTTTTAGCTCTCTATATAAAACCAAGCAGTTCAATTGACCAAATATTTATTCAATACTGATTATGTGCAAAGTATAATACTCGCACCGTAGGAAACAAAAAGTTGAGTGAGACACATTGACATGTCAAGAGACCACATGATAGTGGGGCAGTGAGGTGAGGTGCACCTGGGGGGCAGGAGTCTTGGTTTTAAAACCCTAGGTTCTAATCTAGACATTGTACAAATCACTTAACCTCTTTCTTTTCTTCTGTATTGTGAGAATAATTAAAAATATCTCCAAGGCTGTTTTTTACATTAAATCTTAGTAAACTACATGTGTGTGTGTGTGTCTCTGTGTGTGTGTGTGTCTGTGTGTGTGTGTGTATTTAAATACTGGTCAGAGAGTTGCTCTTGAGTTCAAGTGAAGAAGAAAATATTCTAAACAGATTTTTTTGGAAATGATTTATGCAGAGACAATGTTTTAAATATAGTTATGAAGCTCAATTAAGATTTTAAGGATAGATATGAAGACAGAAAAGTAACAAGTTAAGAGAACAACATAAGAAAAAGCAGGAAGTTATAAAAAATAAAGTGTATAGGAATAGCTGGTAGAACAGAGACAGAAAACCTTGAGGGATAAAAGACCTGCTAGGTTCAGAGGAATGCTTTGAGTAAGTATATTAGCCAGGGAACTGCTGGTTGCAGATGACAGAACATCAATTATATGGGGCTTAAGCATAAAAGGAATTTGTTAGGTCATGTAGTCTAAAAATTCGTAAATAATATTGTATGTGAGCATCCCCCCATAATTTCACCTTTGTTTTCTTCTGTGCTGGCTTCATTCTCAGTTGTTGAGCAGACACTATCATAGCCTATTCCTAGCTATATACACAGTTCTTCCTTACTAACTCAGTTTTTTTTTTTTTTTTTCAAACACTCATTCCTTCATAAGGAAGAGGAAATTTCTGATTAATGCAAGCTAGTCCTGGTGGCTACACTACCCTTGCCAGGGATTTTTTTAAAGAATGAGATAATGCTGTAATTCTGGCATTTTGAGAGATTATTGGGGTCTTCTGGGAAGTTCTCTTCAGTCCTTAAAGGAAACCCAAGAAAGAGAAGTTGTTTTGCTTCTCTCGATGTTGTAAGATAATGTGACTTAGATAGCCATTTATTACTCAAAAGGTAAATAAGTTGTGGAAAAGAAATGAAGGGAGAAGAAAAGTGAAGAGAAATGTAAAGAAATGCTACTTATCTGTCCCTGGAGAATTCTTTACCTATAGATTTTACATTATCTAATTTTTTTTTCATTTTATAAGCTAATTGTGTCAGGATTTTCTGATTTTCATAACTAATTGCATCCTAACTGATACATTCAGTTAGGCTTGGCAACCTAAGAGGAGAGCTTCTTTTTCCCCTTACTTCCAGTTAAATCCCTGGGATAATTCTTATTGGGATAATTCTTCTGTCACATGCACATACCTAATCCATTTTCTCTGGGTCTTGGGCCCACCCTAGAGCTATAAATTGAGCAGCCCCACACAACAAATTAGCTAGACTGAATGAGAACCAGAACAGGTGTCATTACCAAAATAAATATGAATGAATTCTAGTAAGGCTAAACCAACTTCTGCCCAATATGGTAAGCTTCAAAAGTGTGGATACTTATTAGTAATTATTATTATCATTAATTTTCACCTACTATTCAACAGGTAGTTTTCTAAGTATTTTACACGTATTTTCTCTAGTTCTCATACAAATATGCAATGTCTTGGGAAGTCTGTTGAGTGTGCTTGCTCTTAATCACTTTAGGGCTCCCTTGCTGTGCCTAAGCAGAAAACCCGAATGTCATTTAGCTAAGATTTACCCCAGACCACCATATCGGTTTAACCAAGAGTCATGTTGTAACTTCCGTTGGTGGGAAACATGGAAGTTGCTGACTTGAAGCTTGGATAACTTGTGGTGGTTCTTCAAATTTATCTAAGTTGAATGAAGTAGTTCAAGGTTTTCACAGATTGATTAAGGCCAGGTATTTCTGACCCAGAATGAATTGAGTAGATTAGTGACTACACTCAATAATTAAGCAGAAGTTACCTCTCAATTTTATTTGATCAACAGAGTTAGCTACCTGTCAATTAATTCTTACTGAAACAACTATGTAAACAGGATTGAAAAGAGCCAAAGAGCAAGCAATATTCAAGAAAATTAGTTATGCTTTTATCAACACCTTAACTGTTTAGTTTCTCAATCTCTTTAGTGTAAGTAGTGTTTTTATCTTACCTGTTTAGTCAGACCCTCATATGATAATTTTCTAAATTTTATTATAACTAACAATAAGATCTCCACCTCATAACATTTTTTACAGAAAATAAATTGGTCATTACAGTCTATTTTTTTTTTTTTTTAGTGTAACTAATCTGATATTCTTACTTCACCAATTATTTAAGCCTGTGGAGACTTCCAATTCGTTGACTTTATCACTGTTTTCAATAGCTATTAATTCCTACTTACATTTTGAAAATTTCTTTCTTAATCTGTCTAGAATCTTTGGTCTAGCACTATAAACATTTCTCTTGAACACTCTCTTAACATGTTTTCAGTTTCCTTCATTTTACTTTTCTGGCAAAAAACCCAACACTGGTTAAACTTATTTCTCATTTTACTCCACATCTTCACCTGAACAGCTAAATGGATAAAATATCACCACATTTTTCATAGTACTCATCTTAAATATACCACCAAACTTTCACAGGGGCTTTTACCAGTACCAGACAATATTATAGCTATCCTGTGGTAAAAATTCCTGTTAATTGAGACAACTTATTTATTTATTTTTATTTTTTTATTTTTTAATTAATTTTTTTTTGTTATGGTGACATTGGTTAATGAAATCCAGTTTCAGGTGTACAATTTAGCAGTAAGGCACATATTTATATATTACATTGTGTGTTCCCCTCCCATAGTTAGATTTCTTTCTGTCGCCACATATTTGACGCCCTTAACCCCACTTACCTCCCCCTTCCCCCACTCTTGGTAACCACTAATCTATAGTCCATGTCCATGAGTCTCTGTTTGTTTGTCCTGTTCATTTATTGCTTTTGGGTTTGTATCCCACATATAAGTGATATCATGTTGTTTTCAACTTTTTCTGTCTGACTTATTTCGCGTAGCATGATTATCTTGAGGTCCATCCACTTTGTCACAAATGGCAATATTTCATCTCTTCTTATGGGGATTCCCCACTCTTAAAATAATAATACCACCTAGGTCACTTCTGTTTTCTTTTCCGTCTGGTCTCAGGCACAAGTTGTGAGGGAGTAGTGTCTGTGCAATTCACATCCTCCCCTCCCCCCACACACCTTGCTGGTTCTTTCTACTCTAAGAAATATTTAATTACAAAAGTGTCCTAAGGCTCAGACTGCAACCCTGTTTACTCAACCCATCTCCAGCCTAGATCTCTCCTCTGCATGCTAGAGTCATGTATTATACTGCTTACTTGACATCTTTTGTGCTTCTAACAGCATCTCAAACTTAACATGACTGAAAAAAAGCTTTTGCCCCTGCAACATCATCTGCTTTTGATTCATCACGAATCACCACCCCAAGTCATTTTTTCCTCTTCTT